CCCACTGGAAGTGGGACGTCTGGTCACCTTAGACTATACTCACCGAAGGAGTTAGCCAAAGATCAGGAAATAATGAAGCGCAGAATAAATGCTTAGTAGTTCTAAAAAAAAAAGTTCTAGTACTTACTCATATTATTCATTGTAAGTTAGTGAAATTGCATACAATAAACAAAAAGAGCCAACTCAGATTTAGCAACAGGGCCTTGCCACTAAAAGTCTGTATCCTCCTTATTTGAAAACAACAACATATTTTAAGATATTTGAGATTTCTTATAAGAGTCTACAGTTCCTATTTGAAAACAGTTAATATGATCTGGTATACTCTAAATGACAGTGCAGACGACACTTCGAATGATTAAGAAGAATCCAATGGCAGATAGACATGCTAAAAGAAAAATATTTGGAAAGGTTCATGAATATAGGTCATCAATCAAGCTGTTACTTGATTTCCATTTTCAAACTAACAGACTTTGGAGAGAAAAACCCAGGAACATCTTAAAAAACAAAGAAAGCACTGGACAGTTCTACTTGTATTTCTTTTCCAAAGGTGCAATCATAGAAGTATGATTATGGTTTGTCTGATGCCAGGAGGATGCCTATGCAATGTGTTGGGATCAAAGGAAAATGGTGTAAAAATTTACCTTGTTCATTCATATGCCTAGAGATTGGCCCAGAGACAAAAAATAAAGTCAGATAAAAGTTAACTCAAAGAAAAGCTGTTGATATGTGTTTAGTTTTTCACATTTTACAAAATTTTGACACACACAAGACAATTTTCATTGTCTCAAGAAGATAAATATGGAATCAAAATAACAGGAAAATATATTAGTTTTCTTAGAAAAAAAGATGAATACTATAATGAATAGATTGCAGAAACATTTTAGAAAGAGTAGACTAAGAAACCAGATGGTGAATAAACGAAACGTCTAAAGTCAGAGATACAGAAGTGAGCATGGATTCTATCTGCACATGGCTTTCCTTTGCAGGGAAGGTACTGAAACCAGAGGTGACACCCTTCCGAGTTTTCAGGTCCTTATGTTTCTGTAATTGCGAAAATCAGACTTCTCTGTTTCATCACTCACAAAGTCAAGTAAATACATACACACACACGTACAGACAGACAGACATAAAATGGTCTTTTTGCAATCTCTTAGATGAGGTTGAAAAAAAAACCATGAGAGTCAAATGATGGTGATTGTCATCAGAATGATGCCCAACTCAAGAGATTTTTAAAACACTAAACTACAGCCTTCGTCTTTGATGATGGAGCCACTGAATTCCATGAAGCCATTGACCAGGTATAGGTAGGCACTAATATGGTTTGTGGCACAGATTATAGGAAAATTATAATGTAAATATAAACAGTTATAGGAAAATTATAATAACATAAAAACTTCAGAGCAGAAAAATCACATAAGAAAGTTCAAAGCTGGATGAAATGTGATAAAGATTGCTTCCACTACTTCCTGTGTCAGTTCATTTCTATCTTGAGCTGGGGCAGTGCGGGGAGGTGGGGAATAAATCCAGGTGCACATTAGAAGTATTTGTGACAAATCTAACATGGCCAATTTAAGAAAATAGGTTCAGGCACTCCTTAGAGTGGTGACAAAGGGAGGACCCAGTTGTGATGTTTAAAATGTGAGAAGTATGTTCTAATCTAAGGACTGTCAAAGTCTGAGAAAACTATGCCCTTTTAGGAATTATTTGGTTCAGTTCAAAACAGAGTTAAAAATCTTAATAACTATGGCCATAGTTTTAAAGGTATTTTTGTCTTTTCAGATTCTAATTCATTTACTTTGTAATCCAATGGAAACCTGGATTTCAGGTTTGTTGAAACTGTTGAGCTGCTTGTGTTTTTGTTTTGGGGGTTTTTTTTGCAGTTTTTGGCTGGGGCCGGGTTTAAACCCACCACCTCTGGGATATCGGGCCAGTGCCCTACTCCTTTGAGCCACAGACACCGCCCTGAGCTGCTTGTTTTAACCTGAAACAGAAGGAATGTTTCCCCTCAGTGTCTTCCTTTGTTTAGTTCTTCCTCCTTCCTCCTTGCCTTCCTCTCTCCCTCTCTTTCTTCTTTCCTTCTTTTTCTTGATTACTAAATTGATTAATCCAGTCATTCATTTCTTTTTACATCTCACCTGATACTGGGGCCCCGAAACGACCAGTCATGACATCGAAGAAGTTTCCAATGTTGGTTTCAACACTGCTAAAGATGATCCCACTGTTCTGATTGCTGAAGTGAGTTGCCAGAGATGCCATGAATGCAATCTGTGGAAATGATGGATGGCCAATTATTAGAACTGGTGACTTCTCTTAAAGAAGTAAAGGTTTTATACAGGTTACTTTACTGTAACATTTTTCATAACAGCAAGGTTGGAAATTAATATCAATCTATGGAGAAAGAAGTGAATAAATTACAGTAATTTCTAACATTTTTACCTCATGTAGCCAGAAGAATGGTAATGTATAGCAACAGTTCTGAACATACTTTTCAAAGATTATTAGTCTTTGAAATACTTTTTGAAGTCTTGGAATTCTATTGTCAAATAAGACTGGAAAAATTTAGATGAAATTCTCTGCTGATAGCTATTAAATACATATTAGCTTATTAAAGGATCCAAGAAACCCAGCAGTCATACATTATAATTTTGTTAACCCTGCGTTATTTTTTCTCCCAAAGAAATCCATTAATTCTTATGGGATAAATTCTTTGAATACGCTTTAAGATTTCTTGATGTTGATCTAAACATATGTACATAAGGAAGAGAAAAATGTCTTCAAAATATTGTTTACTTAAAAAATAGGCCATACAAGGTCATGATGGCCTGGTGATGGACTTTGTGAAGGGTATCTGTAGGGGTGGAGTTATTGTTTGGGTAAATTGAGAAAAATATCTGCAATATTATCTATAAAATTATGAAGCCGGCCTCAGTAGACGTTTCATGGGAAATTTTTTTATTTTTCATAACACTTATAATTTTCAAATGTGCATATATTAATTTTATACTCAAAAAAGATATATTAATTTTAAATATAGAATTGTATTTATTTACATGGAGAGATGTTCAGGATAAATTGTCATTTGTGAAATAAAGTAAAAAGTACCATTATGTTCCCATTATATAAGTATTCTGTCTGTATAAGTATGCCTAAACCTGAAAAGTTATGTAACCATATATTAATAGTCATCATCTCTGGGCACACTTTATTATTTTTTGCACAGCTGTTTGCTAACTTTTTTAACAATGAAAAGATATGATGTGAATAGTCTTCACGAGGCCAAAAGGAATGTTTTAGTTACCCAAAATTTAGGAAAAAAATGGTTTAATAAAACTAGCTATTTATTTGAATATTGGAAAAACATTTCTGGGCATGATTTTACATTTTAAAATGTCATATTGGAACAGTAAATGTAGACTTAGGAGAATCAGAGAGCCACTGAATGCCAGCATCCATTCCTGGGACTGGTTCCAAATGCTTCGTGTGTAATCTTGTATGGGACTTTGAAAGCCTCTGCTCAATCAGTAAAAAATCAGTGAAGAGAATTGATTTAAGGAACCTCATGGTGGCAACCAAGAGGCCCTATGAGATTGGGAATAAAACTATCTACTGGGTCCAAAGATAAGAGACTGACTGCCACCTGTATTAATTCCATGTCACGTAGCAAGTTATTTAGTATTTGAGCATCACATTTTTATATCCATTAGATGGAAAATGGGGCATGAGTATTCTTTCTCTTCCTCCTGTCCCATGGCCACTGTTATATCTACTGTTACTACATCTGTACTACTGGTGTCAATTAAAACTTGACAATAATCAAAGAGCCTTAGGATAATTCCATCTAACAGGAGTTTTGCTTGAAACTTCCATTGGAGAATGAGTTTTAAAAGTCCATGCCAATCCCTTGTCCAACTGAGTCATTGAGATGGAGTGTAAATTAGATTAATAAATTCTTTAACTTGCTGGAATTAACTGTCTTCAAAGATTATGAAGTCCTCTTCTTTAGTCTCTGCTTAAGATTTACATGATTGTATTGTGATGTTAGGGGAAAACAGTTGATAGAGAAAATTTAATAATTGCTCAGGGTGTTCTCTATCAAACTGGCTACTTCAGGGCCCTTTCACCATGGTTTCATCATTCACAGATTTGGGGTTAGAGTTTCTATCTGGGAGATGATTACTGTTCATCTTTGTAGATACCTTAACTTCACTGAGTGCTCTCTCTCTCCCTTTTATTTTTTATTTTATTTTATTTTATTTTATTTTATTTTATTTTGAGACAGAGCCTCAAGCTGTCCCCCCTGGGTAGAGTGCCGTGGCATTACAGCTCACAGCAACCTCCAACTCCTGGGCTCAAGCGAGTCTCTTGCCTCCGCCTCCCAAGTAGCTGGGACCACAGGCGCCTGCCACAACGCCTGGCTATTTTTTGGTTGCAGCCGTCATTGTTGTTTGGCAGTCCGGGCTGGGGATTCAAACCCGCCACCTTAGGTGTATGTGGCTGGCGCCTTAGCCGGTTGAGCTTTAGGCGCCGAGCCTCTCCCTTTTAATTCTAATGGTACAGAGATCCCAGGTTGCTGAAATTATTAAATAGCATTCATTAAAAAGTTACTGAGAACAAAAAAAAGCATTAGAGTAATACATTAACTGTTCAAGTTATTTTAAACTTGAAAAATTGGGGCCCCGCAAAGTGATGGAACTTATTCAAGTTCAAACAACTACCATACATCCCCAAATAAAAGGCAAGGCTCCCCCCAACTTGATCTTTCAGACAAGAGTCACTTCATATTCTAGTTGGGTGTTGTTGTTGTTGTTTGTTTTGTTTTGTTTTCATTTTTTTGGCCAGGGCTGGATTTGAACCCACCACCTCTGGCATATGGGGCTGGCGCCCTACTCCTTGGAGCTACTGGCGCTGCCCCCATATTCTAGTTTTTTAAAAATCTCTCATGCTACAGGATTTTCTGACTTTCTTTTAGCCACAAGTTGCTATTTTGGAAAGATATTACCTAAAAATAAACTTAATTTTAAAAATGCTAGTCTTCAATATTGGTAGGTGTCCCCTGAAAGAATCAATTTTAAAATATAATCAATAGAGAAAAGTTAACCCAGACTTCGTAATTTTTCTTAGCAACCTAACCTCACATTTTCGAGTTTAAGTTGTAAAATTAAGTTGTAAGAATTTTAAAGTTCGTGTAACAGAGAAATGAACAGTGAATAAATAGATACTTGAGTTTGGAGTAAAATGTACAGTTATAATCTCATAAATGGATTTTTAAAGCTACCTGAAATGAATATAATCCGGTCTGGAATACTGGGAGTGGATAACTCAAAAATAAAATGAATCCAACTGATAAAGAAGACACTGGCAAGACAAATTTAAAGAAAAATTGTATCACAAAATTTGAGAGAAAAGAATTATGTATTAATATCCATGTATATGATTTAAACATGTAAACATAACAAAATTAATAAATAAGATATAGTAGACATTTCATCATTCCACTATGTGTCTAAGCATGTATATTCATGTATATATTCAAGTTGGCCCGAATCCTTTTTATTTAACATATCTACTCATTTGGAGAATAGGCGATAAGCTCACATTCAGGGATGCCCGGGATCTGGTCCTATGGAGAAGTTGGATTTACTTTTCTTAAATTTCTCTCCTCCTTAAGAATAAGTTCAAACCCCTCTCTTTAGACAACACAGTCCTCCTGCAAACACCCTACATGGTATGTATGAGCAAATGCAGACTCAGGTTTACTCAAGATTGAGGAGGACCCCAGGGAGCACTCAGACCTGATTTCCCCCCATCCCACTTGTGGTCAGGCAGGTTTAGAAGTCACAAAGGGGGATTACCTGGAGTTCTGGTGGAATGCCCGGGTAGCCCTTCTCTCCTTTGGGGCCGTGATGCCCCCGCTCCCCTCGAGGCCCCAGGTCACCTTTGTCACCTTTCTCACCTTTGGCCCCTTCATGTCCAGTGGCTCCATTATTGCCATTGTTTCCGTGGTTTCCTTAAACAACCAGACATCACAGGAGACAATTCCATCATTTTTCTCACCATCTATTTTTAGACAACCTGTCTAAACTCACTTGTAAAGGGATCATTTGAAACAATCCCAAATCCAGCTCAGGGGACTTCTTTTAAATGAGGCACTAGACTCTGAAAATAGCCTTAGCTATCCTAAGGTTCCAAAGCCAGTTTAGCCTATAAAGCAAGACTTGGACAAAATATTGTGTAGAACACTAATCACCACATTATAATTTTTTTTTTGAGACAATCTCACTCTGTTCCCCATGCAAAAGTACCTTGGCATTAACGTAGCTCATAGCAACCTCAAACTCCTGAGTTCAAGTGATCCTCCTGCCTCAGCTTTCCAAATAGCTGAGACCACAGGCACTCACCATGATGCCAGGCTAATTTTTCTATTTTTAGTAGAGATGGAATCTCGCTATTCCTCAGGCTCAACTTGAACTCCTGAGCTCCAGCAATCCTCCCACTGTGGCCTCCCAGCGTGTTAGGATTACAAATGTGAGCCACCATGCCCAGATGATCACATCGTAATTTAAAATAGCAAAGATGAAAAGCCTAAATATCCACCAACACTGGGAGGGCTGAATGCTCTTAAATGGAATATTCTAGTAAACATAAAGTCATTTAAAAAATGATGTTGGGGAAAAATATTCAATGATATTAGATAGCAATATTCATGATATTCTTGATTTTAAAAACCATGAGTAAATAAGGATAGCATAATACTATTTTTATTTGGGAAAATTATGTATGTAGTACGTGCATAGAGGAGAAAGACTAGGATAAATTACATAACATATTTACAGTTCTTCTCTAAACCAGTAAAATGTGAGTTTCAAGCCATTTTATAGATTTTTTTTATTTCTTTGAAGTTTTCTACAAAGGTTAACAAATCACTTTTATAACTGAGGAAAAGGTAAACTCATTGATTAAAAAAGACATAATAATTTTGAAAGCAAAAGTTCAACAACAATTTTAACTCCGTACTTTGCTACTCAGAGATAATCTCTACACCTCTTCCTTATCTGGATATTTGCTGGATGTCATACCCCTGTGCTGTTGATTTTGCGTGCTACCTTTGATCAGGCATTACACCTGGCTTACAACCTCCAAATGGATGAACTTTGAATATTGACAAGTTAACTTGCTCAGGGACAAACTGTTCCTAATGGGAAACATTTAACCAAGGCCAGCCTGTCCTGTAGCCTCAGAAGAGCTAAGACCTGGCTCGGCGCCTATAGCTCAACTGGCTAAGGCGCCAGCCACGTACACCTAAGGTGGCGGGTTCGAATCCCCAGCCCGG